GGAGCATTACGGCTGCCGTAGTCAGCAGCCTTGCAGAGTAATCTGGGTCCAAAACTCCGTCCACTTCAGGTCCCAAAGTCAAACGAACACTGCACCATCACCGAGAGTTAAAAACTGTCTAAATTCTTTCATCTTTAATAAAATGATCAGCGTTGCTGCTTTACCAGGTGTAACAATTAAGTTTAACATCCAGGCATCCATGGAAACAGAATTTATTAAATTTAACAGAGTTAGAAGTTAGCAGGAAGTTAGCTCACTAGTTTCCATCTAAACATGATATAGCATGTTCTGACTGAGAGATTTCTGAAAAAATCATAACGTACAGCTCTGCTATCACTTCCAACATAAATGAAGACAGAAAACTAAACAGCAGTGATGTTTGTAGGGTTACTGAAGTTGGGCTAGCTGGTTTATAATGATGTGCTACCTGATCACTAGCGACACAGCTATGTTAGAATAACATAAACACAGTGAAGCTGGAGGATGAACGCTAACTTTTTTCCACTTGATAAAAGTTTACGCGAAGGTTCCTGATGGCTAGGGACAAATGCAATCGCATGGAGGATGCTGTAAACGGACCAGACTTCAGTCAGGAGAACAACTGAGATAATCCATCCACAATACGAGGTTAGTTATTAATCATTAATCATTAGTCATTAATATACTGCAACAACATGGGGGTAGAGCCACTGGAGAGAATTCAGCATTAATGAATCAGTGGTATGGAAGAGGAAGCAAGTAAATGAGTTGAGTAAAGTTTGACTTATCTGACTTTGTTTTGCTTAATGAGCTTATAATCTGGTGCGCCTTATGTATGACAACAGACCCGTTTATCGACAGTGCGCCTTATGGTCTGAAAAATATGGTAACAGTCGACTGCGGAATATTTAGAAGCATGGGAATTTCAGGACTTGTAGATCTTTATTGATTTATCAAACTATATCAGACTCCTTTCTCAAAGTTTTACTCTTCCAGAGTAAATAGACATGGACATTTCTCACCTGTCATTGAGAACTGAGGTAAAAAGTGGCCTTCTACAGATGGTAAAAACTCTGGGGAAGATCTGGATCTATTTCAGTAGTAGTAGAAACATGTCAGCTACTGCTGTTGTGGGGTGCAGTCTAAATTCAATGTTTCTGATCATTCCTGCCTGACTAAACCATGATTGTCTTAAGGCAGCCACTGTCGCTGGGATTATTTACTTGAATTGGGAGGAGTCAGAAAATAGAAGTAATTTGGTTGGAATCTGCAATCTACTGTAGTGGTGAAATTTCACACATTGTAACTTATAAAAAGGTGAGCATTGACCTATCTATGCTATAGATTTGGTTTAGCCTCATGCTAAATATGCTAATTTAGGATCTTGCCCAATTTAACCTTAAAAAAAACAACTTTTTTGTCTTTTTTCTGTATATGTTCTAATGTGATGAGATGTATAAACACAAGGATATAGGAAGACATAGACCACTGTCTTTCACCACATAAAAGTCTTCAGCAAGTGCGATACACACACAAAATTACTTTTTACTTTGTGTGACATATTTTCTGCTAGTGAGATTGTCTTGACACTCTGACACCTTGTGCGATAGATTTGTTACTTCTGTCAGAGATTTTCATTTATTTATATTTTTTCTTATTGGCACAAAGAGCTCTCTAATATATACACCATGTGTATATATTAGTTGTGCCTTCTGACGTTAAATTGATTAAATTGATTGTAATATTTTGTATTTTACTGATTATAATACTATTTGCAGCGATTAGAACCAGACTTTACCATTACCTGATTGGAAGTGGGATGTGTATGTACTCTAAAAGCCGATTAGGAAAGCTATGGCATTGCCACCCACTGTCTTGGTGGTAATTTGCACCTGCATTCAATACTGAAATTAATAAATATCATGTGGCTCAGAAGGCACTTTTCCAAACGCCATCATTACATTCGAGATGGAGGACATCTCAAATTCGTACAAGATGTACCCAGAAAGTGAGCACATTATTATCCACTGGTTTGATTTGGAGATGATTTGAAATCTAGAGAATGTCTTTATGTTCAAGGACATATTTTTTCCAATTGAAGCTAAGCACTTCTAAGCTAAGCACTGAGCATCATTTGCATATTAGTACAATGTGCAAAGGCAACAACTGAGGGCATGATTCTTAATGGCAATATACTGATATCTATGGTGAGTGGGGTTAGCGTGAGAGTGGGTAATGTCCAGTTTCATGAACAGTACTGTTTAGCAGTTGAAAACTGATCAAATTCTTATGACTGGATTTGGACTATACATTTATAGCAGAGGAAATTAAGAATAGAATTAAAGAAAGAATACGGGTTCCATGTCATGTTGCTGTTGCTGCTCATTTTTAAATGCGTTTCGTATTGTATGTAAGTGCAGTATAAAATCAATGGGGAATGTACAGTGCAAAGTACACAACTGCAAAGATTTTTTCTCATTCCTTAAGATCCCTTATTTACCAGCCATACAACTCTGCTGTGTCACCTTAGTGGCTAACATGACAGAGCATTAGCTGGATGTGATTTTAAACTAATCCTTCATGTCTTTTGCATCCTTATGGCTAAATGATGATGCATCAGGGTGAAGTTTAGCATTTCTTAATCTTTTTTTTATATGTGCGTGTATCTGTGAGTGTGTGTGTGTATGTGCACTCTGTCTGAGTCTGGTGTGTGTAAGCATTCTAATCATGCAGCCTACTGTTATGGCTGATCATATAGAAAAATCAATACCAAAACTTAGAAATCTGTGATTTTATACAGGAGGGGAAATCATTTGATTCCATGGTGAATTTGTATGTTTGGTTACTTAAAACTGAACAGTCTGTAATTTTTTTATGGTCGTTTCATTTAAATGGAGGGAGAAAGAATATCAACCAAAAATCTGAAAGAAACACATTACATAAAAGTTGTGAATTGATTTTTGTCCCATCTTTCTCCCCTCACCCCCAACTGGTCAGACTCGGAGTCTGGTTCTGCTGAAGGTTTCTTCCTGTTAAAATTAGTTTTTCATTCCCAATTTACCAAGTGCTTGCTCACAGGTCATTATCTGACTGTTGGGTTTTTTACTGGATTATTGTAGCTTACAATATAATGAGCCTTGAGGTGACTGATTTGACACTTGATCAGTTGATACCAAAGAGTTGATTTTGGTTTCATCTGACGAACGCACTTTCTCCCAGGCATTCTATGAATTGTTTAGATGTTCACTGGCAAACTTAAAATGAGCCTGTACATGTGCCATCTTGAGTAGGGGGACCTTGAGGCAGTTGCAAGATTTCATTACAACGTATGTGTGTTACCAATGGTGTTCTTATTGACTATGGTATACTTTAAACACATCAGGAGAAATCAGAAGTATTTGTAATTGATTCCTTGATTGATCAATTGTAATCCCAATCAGCGGGAGCCAGCATTCTGGCTGGGTTAAAACAAATTCATGGTTTTAACCCGAAGGTCAATCTGAAAAAACATTAAAATGGCTACAACTGTTACTCTGATCAAGTCTGACAACTATCAACTATAACAGAAGTTATAGATTGGAGACTTTTGTGATTCATATACATGTATATGTCGTAGTATTTGTATTTGTAGTATTTGTATTAGTATTAAACTCGTCGTCTGGCATACATGGAAGTAAGGAGAAAAGAGAAGGCCAGTTTTACTGGATGTAAAATTCCTTTAAACTGTGCTTTTTTACCATGTGACTAAAATGCACCTTGCCCTTAAGTGGTTAACTGGTGATTGGACAGGTGTTAAGAGGTTAAAGTCTTAAATCTTGATTAAAAAATAAATATGAAACTTCTGCACAGAAACAATTCTTCTGTATTACGACTTTTGTCAGGGGAAGTTGGCTGCAGTCCAATTTAATTATTTCTTTACAGTAAAACTTTTATTTTAAGCAGCAAAATTAACTTCAACCTCTTCTAACTTCCATGGCTTTATAACCGTCTTTAACCCTGTTCCACACAGATAATAGCTTGTGTTTTTCAGACGTCCCCCCGCGACACTTTGGTTTTTCTCACAACAGACAGTGACATGCTCCTTCCGGGCTAGTCCACTGGAACCTGCTTGTCCACCCGTCCTTCCACCAGCTTTATGTAGATCAATATTTGAGTAGCTGCAACAGAGGTGTGTTTGTGGAGCTCCCTATCTCTGTGGGGCAGCCTGTTATAGTGTCAGGTTTGGAGGATGGGAGTTCAGGGTGTGTGTAAGCCCAGGATGACCTGACAGCTTAGATATTTAATAACTGTCTTAACCTGGCCTTCCAGTGGCTGTGCTGCAGAGTTATGAATATGGCTGCACTTTCAACCTTACACCCCAGCGGGGCTTGAAAGGAAAAAACATGAAAGAACAGAGAGGATTTGGCTTTTACACTCTTCACCTCTATCATAGTGCTGGTAATAGTCAGTCTCCCCACTGGTCAAATGTAATCTCAACCCACACATACCTGAGGGTAAGGTTGCTCAAAGTCCCAGAAGAGTTAGTCAAAAGGGTTAGCTTTTATTTTTTATATAATGTTGTAATTTATTTTTTGGGGAAAACAAGTTTTCTTCTGCCTCAAGAATATCTTCCTTTAAATACTTTGTTTAGGTATTTAAAGTCACAATTTTCAAAGCTGGCAGCAGGAGCATCCATCCATCCATAGCTTGGGCTACTCCAAGACGAGGATGTATCTGCAATAAGATATATTATTCAGTATTTACTGTTTGATTTATAAGAGACTAAATATGGTGAACCATAATCTTATCTGATAAACGTGTGTTGTGATTCGTATTTGGCAAAGGTATTTAAAATAAAATCCTTCTTAACAACCATCAAATTGGTGTAGTAGCACTTTCAAAATCAAATATAGATTTATAGACACACACACATTTTCTGGTTATATATTATTATAGTAATACAGTATTGGCATATCTAATATCTTCTCAGTCTTTAGTAAATGTACTCTCTTTTTGCTTTCACACCATGTTTTTTTTCCCAGGCACTCCACTCAGCAGCAAACCAACAAAGTCATCACCAGCACAAGCCAACTCATCAAACAGCTCTCTGATATAATCAGTGGCTCTTCACGGGTATTTTATGCTCCCTTTCCTCCCTCACTGAATATTAGTTTGAAGAATAAACAGTAGATTAAACAACATTTGAGCTAATTGAATCTAATTCTGTTTTGTTGCACAGCAAGACCGTCTGCGACTGACCAGACTAAAGACTGAGCTCTCTGAGTCTGTGCAGCGATATGGGGATCTCCAGAAGGTATTTGCATGATGAATGCACTCCTTTGACACCTGAAATTGATGCTATGGTCATTTAGTTTTACTGAAAAGAGAACTAAAGAGATGCTGTTCCACAGATGCAAAGTCACATTTGTGCTACTTGTGAGAGTCCTTGACCCTGTCTCCTCATATGCTCCTCTTTCAGAAAATTGCGGAACGCTCAAGGGCCCTGCTCCCCCCAGCACAGAAAGACAAGAAGAAGGTGAGCTGATATGGAGAGCAAAATCCTCCTTTTGTTTCACTGTCATTCGTAACAAAGTAGGATGATGAGATGGCATTTCTCCGCTCAGCTGCATTCTCACAAGGGCTCCTTTGAAGCTCAGTCTGGTCTCTTCCACTCTGTTATAATACAGTGGACTCCATTCATCACATCCCGCTCTTGTGTGCTGTGAAATTTCTTTCATCTGATTCTAATTTTGTCACCGGTGACAGTTTATTTTCACCATGTGGCCCAGCGAGAGCCAAGAGATGGGAGCTTGTGTTGAAGATATTAAAGTAACTCCTCATAGCCTTCCCGTGCACAGTTCCTTATCCCTGATTACTGAAACCAGACCATATGAAGTTAAATGTATTGAATATTCTTTGTACATGAGATGTGCACAAGTAATAAAACAGCAAATTTATCAAGGTGAATTTACGCATGTGCTTAAGGTTTGGTTCAGCACTTGCTGTAGAAACACTATTACCAAGCATAAAATATAAATATTCAACCCAAACGGTGGTGTTTTAAAGGGGACCTGTTATAATCATTTTAGATGCTGGATGCTCAGATTTATCTAAGAAACCTCCCCAGACAGAAACTCTTTGTTCGCCCTTCAGACTTCGTATCACAAACGAGGGCAAAGCGAAGAGCTCAACTGTGATTTGTACCAGTTTTAACCTTCAAATATGTGATCGTCCCCCCCCTTCCAGTTATGCCAGTTTTAGAAATCCTTCCTAATGTTTTCTCACATGTGAAGGCTGGTGAATCAAAACAGCCCATTAAAATATTCATACAAGTAAAACTACTAACATGTTAAACATTATGTACTAATGCCGAAACCTGTTTATTCAGGTTAAAAACCTACTTGTCATGTGAGAAGTTATTAATAAAATATTTGTCAGATGTCCTCTCGTTTCTTATGGTAGTTTATTGTGCGTTATGTGTGTTATTAGCTCTCAGCTTGTTAACTGACATGAGGGGAATACTACATTGGAAGCTCAACACAGCCAAGCTTTATTTGCATTAACTGGATTGACAAAACCTAAAACCCCAGTCAGAGGTAACAGGTATCATGACAGCGTTGATCAATTTTCATGGTTAAGTCAGGCTTTGTGCTTCAGACTCTGTTCACACCCAAAGGTGCGGATCACGTGCCATATGACTCTTCTTCTGCATACAAAGATGCCTATAAGTACTCCTGACATAATGCACAACAGTGATAAAAAGCTATGAAGAACATTAGAAAAATAACAGTAAATGTAACACACTGGCATCACAGGCTTAAAGGACTTACCAGGGTGTACACTACTTCTCGGCCCAGCAGCTGGACTTGTTTCCAGCCCCTCTGTGACCATGACTTGGAAAAGCAAAGAAAATAAAATTCAACATTGCTGAAAAAAAAACACAAGTATTTAATGCTGCAGAAAATCATTAATTTGGGGATTTAGTGCGAAGAACAGAAAATAAATATTTAAATTCCAGTTAATTATTTAAACACTGAGTTATTTCTAAGGTGACAGCCACACATTAGAGCTGTGACACCTTAAACTGGATGCATTTAAACAGTAATGCATACCATGCCATACGCTGATAAAGGAGATGTGGAAATCAGTTTATTTTGTCACCGATCAAAGTGAAATTCATTTTATTGGTTGAAGAGGTATTCTTGGTATGTGTTCTGTATTCTGTCAACTGCAGCAGTATAAAACAGACTTTGAACCAAGTTTAAAAACATTTTTACCTTTTCTGCATCATCAGTGGAGTTCATGTGGATTCAAGTGACAATGTGATGCGGTTTGCACTGCTGTCACTTTACAGCTGGACGTGACATTAGTAAGGTAACAACACATTAATACAAGAGAAAATCTCTACTGCACCTAAAACATGTAAATAAAGAATCAGTCGAAAATCTTTTAGCCAATTTCAAACCAAAAGTCAAGTTTTCAGCATACGTTACCATGGTGATTTAGCGAGGTAATAAGAGAGAAATGTTTGTGGCCCAAAACACTCTGACTTTGTACTTGACGTAGCACACTTAACCCATTAATCTTTCTTCATTGTACAACCCTCAATACTGCAAGGGAGATGGTTGGATCAACATTCAAAATAAGGAAAGCAACGTTTCTTTTTGAAATCTATCTTTGATCTAAAAATATCATCAAATCAGATCCATTCTTTCTCTGGACAATATATCCAACAGTTTTTAGAGAGAATAAAATTTCTATATTTTTTGTGTACTTTGCTAAGTTAGCTGGCTGATGTTATTGTTTGGGTTCTAGACATATTTGAGTTTCTTTTTAGGTTTTACTGGTATTCTAGTGTTGACCCTGAGATAGGCTGGCGACCTATTCAGGGTGTACCTCACCCCTCATAATATAGAATGAAAAAGACAGCTGCAAAAATAATCTTTTACACTAAGTGGATAAAGTATAGTGTACAATTGATTGCATGCTCAATCATCCAGGTAAGACACTTGAATGAGTAACTAAACATTTCTCCTACTGAAAACGGTACATCTAGATGAACAGAATCAACGTTTTGGGAGCTTAGTTCTTGGGACATTCATTTCTGATATAGCCTAGCATTAGCATTTAGCTTCTTGTAATTCCATTTTATAAAAGTACAAGCTTCAAATTTTACAAACTTGTACAATTTTGTAATATTAGTGTGAACATTATCTTGTAAAGTAAGTTAAAAAAAATATTTCGTTGTGAATATGTTTCTACTGCTGTAAATTGTTTGGGTAATTGGGGAGAAACTACAATGACATGTAGGTGTATCACGTATAGTTAAGAGGAAGCAGCTCTCTTTCTCACTCAATATCCACCAGGGTGTTTGAAGGTCTCAAACATGCTTTTCTGTTAAGCTGAAAGGAGAATGACTTGCAGTTTGAACTGGTTGAACAGTATTCTGCAAAGAACCATTGTTACTACACACACCCTCTAAAAAGCCATCTTATTTTTTTGCCCAAACAGAGAGATGACTCATGTGTATTAATGTTTTATGCCTCCCTGAAGGCCTATAACTAAGGTCTATTATTCTGCAAGCTTTAGAGATAAAGGGCTATGGAGGCGGCAAACTGTATAATACATTACACAACTTAAACTACATTCAATGCATAGCAGGAAGCTCTCTAATCAGTCCATATATTATGGAAGAATCAACTGGTCAAATATCATTTTATGTAACCACAACAACAATATTCTGACTTCTCTGCTGTACATGAAGTAGAAGACGTTAGTAGACAGGAAGTGATGAGAGGTACCCTGACGTTTGGAACGTCATCCTTATACATGCAGAAAATCACTTTTCAAACCAATGCAGACTGTTTCCCACAACAGCAGGGAGCTGTGTGAACGTTTCTACCAGTGTGTGAACTTGTGCAATAATGTGTCAGAATGATTGTCTTGAGAGTCCCTTTCCATCCATGTAATGTACTAATATATTCTGGGGTGTTATGTATGTATGTATGTGGAGGAGTGAACACCCAGAGTGTGCTAAGGAATGGTGAGTCACAACATGGCCAGTAGACAGAGTGCTGTGACTAAGCCTGAGTTAGTTCCTGTGCTCTGACCCACACTGGTCCCTCTACCATGAATTAGCTGTGCACTCAACCACACAAAGGTGAAACACATTAGCAATGCAAAAGAGTAAGCAGACCTCGCTCCGTGTCTCTCCTCTTCCCTTATGCTTTTGCTTGCACATGAAACAAAATGTGTGCATGTACCACATGTAGCCTCAACATTCACGATCTCCACTAACACACAGTATATACTGATAATGGCTACACCACATGCTCGTAACAGAAATGTTAACAAATTTGTACCAAAGCAAATTCATGTTTTTAACCAGAAGGTCTATCGGGAAAAAAAAAACATTAAAATGGCTACAACTGTTACTCTGATCAAGTCTGACAACTATCAACTATAACAGAAGTTATAGTAGAAGATTGGAGACTTTTGTGATTCATATACATATATATATATGTCATAGTATTTGTATTTGTAGTATTTGTAGTAGTATTAAAGTCCTTAGTCAATAGACCTCTCTGCATTGTTATTAATCTCTGTCTCTCTTCCACAGCATGTCCTTTATCCTGTCTCCCTTCTCTCACCCCAACCAGTCGCAGCAGATGGCCCCGCCCCTCCCTGAGCCTGGTTCTGTGGGAGGTTTCTTCCTGTTAAAAGGGAGTTTTTCCTTCCCACTGTCGCCAAAGTGCTTGCTCATAGGGGGTTGTATGATTGTTGGGATTTTCTCTGTATGTATTAGTGTAGGGTCTGCCTTACAATATAAAGCGCCCTGAAGCGACTGATGTTGTGATTTGGCGTTATATAAATAAAATAAAATTGAATTAAATAAACCTTTGACACAAAAAACTGCTTATACAGTTTCTGTGATGTACACAAAGAGCAAAATACAGAAAAAATCTGCACTGATGCACTTGTAGCTGCTGATTTAAGAACAGGAAAACTAGGGAGCCAAATGTACAGCTGGAGGTTTGCTAAAAGAAATTGATTTAATGGTTAGCTTAAAGTAGGTTATATAATAAATAGGTACATAAACGTAACATTAATTAATCAATTTTATTTGTCAGTGCATTTATATTTATATAGCACTAAATCACAATAACAATCACTTTAATGTGTTTTATATTGTTATACTGTACTGCCATAATAGAGAGAAAACCATAGCAATCTCCTTTCCCTCTATGAGCAAGCACTTGCTGAAAGTGGGAAGAAAATCTCCCTTTTAACAGGAAGAAACCTCCAGCCGAACCAGGTTCAAGAAGAGCAGCTTTCTGCTGAAAGTGGTTGGGGCCGATAGTGGGTAATAATGTTTAGCTAAATATAATTAATTTTTGCTTACAAAATATCAAATGAAATAATAATTTTGAAGCAATAAGATCATTTAGCGAAAAGTGAATGAAGCCAAGACAAGATAAATTGAAATTACATTATAATAATAGAAATGCAAAAAAATTGTTAATGGTGCTAATTACACATTTGAAATGTGTAAAATGCTTAGTCAAAAATATATTTTCACTGCTGTTGTTATATTTTATTCGGACACATATCACTAAAAAAACCCATCAAGTTCAGAGTTGGATTGTCCATGAATTTTAAGATGAGAGATAAAAGACAGCAGTAACTGGTAGTTGCTGTGATAATAAGTTGCTGCTACTTAATCAACAACCCGAGCACTTGTATTCCCAGGCAACAGACAAAGTAACTGCTCACTGTCTGAATTTTTGCTGTTACTGCTATACCTTTTAAATCTAATAAAAGAAAATGTCTTTGCTCTCACAGAGTCCTCAGACTCCATCCAGTGAGCAGATAGAGGAGGGTCCACTGTTTGGAGCAGGCTCAGAGGGAGGAAGTCAGGCTTTCCTGTCTGAGATCAGTGAGGAGGACGTGGAGGTGCTCCGTCAGAGAGAGGAGGCCTTGCTTCAGATTGAGGTAAGAACAGTGACATATAATCAGCTCAGCTGAATTCATCAGACACAGAGCTCATATATTTCTCCTACTCAAACACCTACTAGAACAATTAAAATCAGCTGATGGTCAATGAACAGCTCCACAGAAGCTGCTGGAGATTAGAAGCCTTACTTAACTATGACTGCACCACACGCCATCAAAAAAGAAAAGAAAAATGGTGTGCGCAGTTTCCACAGTCAGTATAGGTTGTGCTTGTAATCACCACAGATGTGGTCCTGTGTACACATATGGACACTACTGTAGCCATCGTCTATTGCACCTTTCAGCAACTTTTTGCAGGCTGCCTGATTGTAAAGAGCTGTTTGTTGCACCGAAACTCTGCATTTTGTTGAGCTTATGAAACCCAGCTCAGCAGATCTGCACTGACACTCAGCTCCCCAGGTTTCTAAAATATTATACAGCAGTGGAGAAAAATACAGGAAACCAATATATGTAGTAGGAGAGGTTATTTGTTCTTAAAGCAGAGCTCATTTAGAGTGTTTTAAATTAACTGGTGTAATATAAGCTTACTAATGCTTTGGCTCGAGTCAAAAGAAAATAGTGTGGTCATATTTCTCGGTATTGTGTACATACATTGTAAAAATAAATAATCCAAACCAAAAATAAATTAGTTTTACTAATGAGCATTGTGTGCAGTGTGTGTATCATTTCCTGATAGATATTATCTGATTAATCTGTGCTAGTGAACTTTACTGTTGTCCAGAAGTGAGCATCAGTGAGACAGTCTGTTGCACTGATTCACTGATGCTCTTTCATTACAACCAGCACACACTGCTGTGTATTTGGATTTATTCTCACATATGCCCTCACTGCAAATAGTCCCTTATAAATCCATTCTCCTGTGTTGTATGAGCTCCCCTTGTTTTAGGAAGTGCCTCGGCCTTATTTAAAAAAATGAAAGTAATTGCCAATATAATAGAAGCAATAATGAGTCACTGTAGTGTCCAGTAATAGTCCTTTCACTTTCCGTGGTCAAGATTATCCACCAAATGCCAGACTACCCACGTCCGTGATGAAATGGAAACAGGTATCTGAACAAAACTTGATCCAATTCCAAAACATTAATTTTACCTTCTCAATTGAAGAACAAACTGAAGGCAGAGAGAACCACAAACACGCAGCAACTGAAGGGAGTAAACACAGAATTTAAGTATTCCATGTTTTTTTATCTTCAAATAATTTTCACGCTGCTATTAAAAATAATCCATGTATATAAAATTGTTTATACATACAGTTTGAGCCTCTGAAAATGGGGTACAGTGTATTGAAATGACTGTAATTGAAAAGTTTTGTTAAACCCACTGAATTAAAGCTGAAAGTCTGCAATCACATCAATCATATCTTAGCTGTTTGCACACTACCAGAGTGGATTTTAAATCAGAGGTAAAAAGTGTCCAGGAACGTATGAAACTAATAGTAAGCCTCTTTACTTATACTCCTAGGATTACTAAACTTCTTGCACCGCAATGACAACTCATTTCCGTGTGCTGAAGTTATATGCAGTAAAAATAAAATATGCTGGCCATTTACTTTTAAAACAACCACATACCTGAAATACCACAGCTGAAGAAAACACTCTAAAAAAAAACGATGAAGAAAAACAAATTAGGCATTTGTTTTCTTCAAATACTGCCTCCCAGGAGGCCAACACATGCCAAGTTAGTAACTAGAAACTCAAACAGGCTTCGTCTTCGTCTCCCACCTCCAAAAGCTTATTAGTATTTTGTCACAGTACCCCCATGCTGCTGCAGGATATTGAATGCTGCCCAATTACTAAGGTGCTTATAGCCTTGTTTGTTCCCTTACCTAGGTAAAATGTGTATGGAATCATAATGCTTCTCAGCTAAAAAAAGTCAGCCACTCTGTTGCCAACACCCTTATCAATAATTGGGAAGATGCCCTTTCATTTGGGTGCTTATCCTGATTGCCAGTATTAGGTTAAGTGAAACTAGATAACAGAAATGACACACTGGCTATGTTGAACTCACGTCATGGTAAAAGCCTCAGGTTGAGTGTTCAGTGCATTTTCAAAAAGGTATAGGGACTCAGAACATGCTCTTCAAAATTAGGGCAAATATCATCCTTGTTAGCTGCCAAATGCCACTGCTATGTTTGGCATCTCAAACTATGTCGATAAGCAGGTTATACAGGGTGGTGCCCACTGTGGTTTTAGGCGCCTTCTTGGTGGAACCCAGGTTAAAGCAATCAGGCTAAGACTATCGTTAAAAAAGACTTGAAAATTAACAAAGAGATTGAAAATGATAGCAACAGACAATGGCCCTAATCCAGGAAGCACCTCACAAATCTGGTTTTCTGTTCAAAAACGCAAGTGAACTTCCACTCTGAGTCAGTTACCATGGTAACAGACTGTGAACTAAACCTGCTCACTGGCAGGTTTTCTTCAACAAACTCTGAGTTTCTCTCTGACTCCTCCCCTAATGCTGCCCGTGAAACAGCTGAGTGCCACTCGATAGACTGTGGGAGGCAGCTGAGGGGTACCTGCAGGCCACGTACAACATATATAGTGCAGGAGGAATGCTGCTGATTTCAACTGAGGATATAGTCAAGCGTTACAAGGAATTCTTTGAGGACCTCTTCAATCCCACTGACATGTCGTCTGTAGAGGAAGCAGATTCTTTAAACATTAAAGGGTTACCATCCCAAAGCCTAATACAGGAGACAGGGAAATCACTGCAGTTTTTCAGCACATCAAAGTGAAGTTAATTTTGATTGAACAGGTATTCTTGGTATTTTTACTGTATTCTAGTCGCTAGCCTAATAGTATGTTGAATATGAATATGAATATTCTTTATTGTCATTGTCACAAGTACAATGAAATTGAAAGATGTCTCCGGTCAGTGCAACATCACGAAAGATAAATACTTAAAAACTATAATAGATAGGATATAAAAGATAGAAATACATATAAAATACAGTATTCTCATACGGTAAATACACCCACGCAATCCAGGCCTAAGGCCCCATACAGACACTCAACATACGACCTAGTTGATATATCACTCAAACAATCAATCACTCAGTCAATTTGTTAGCGCATCCAACAAAACATGTCTAAAAGCATTCCAACATCAGGGGCACAAATGACAACAGGTGCAATGAGAGTCATCTACTTTTAGTAGCATTAAGACATGATATTGCAATTGGGTAGAAACTGTGTTTGAGTCTGTTAGTCCTTGTGTATGTTGTTCTGTACCGTTTACCTGAAGGCAGCAGTTCGAACATGGAGTGACCAGGGTGTGAGGTGTCCTTTATGATGTTATGGGCTCTTTTGAGGCAGCGGGAACTGTGTAGGTCTTTCAGTTTGAGGAGAGGGCAGCCGATTGTCCTTTGGGCAGCATTGATTACTCCCTGGAGTGCTTTCCTCTGAGCCACTGTGCAGCTAGCGTACCATATGCCTATGCAGTACGTTAGTATGCTTTCGATGGAGGCTCTGTAAAAAGACACCAGCAGTCTCTGTGTGATGTTGTTCTTCCTAAGCACTCTCAGAAAGTACAGTCTCTGTTGTGTCTTTTTCAGTAGCTCAGAGGTATTCACACTCCAGGATAGGTTTCCCTCTATGCTGACTCCCAGGAAGCGGAAGTCTGCCACCCTCTCCACATAGTTGTCGCTGATGATTAGTGGTTGGATTTCTGTCTTGTGTCTTCTGTAGTCAATTATGAGTTCTTTGGTCTTTTTCGTGTTTAGGAGAAGGTTGTTATCCTTGCACCATGAAGACAGCCGCTCCACCTCATCTCTGTAGGCAGACTCATCTCCCCCAGATATGAGCCCCACCACAGTAGTGTCATCTGGGAACTTTACTATGGTGTTGCTCTGGTGGGCGGGGGCGCAGTCGGGTGTATAAAGCGAGTAGAGCAGTGGACTAAGCACGCAGCCCTGTGGCGACCCAGTGCTTAGATTTAGGGCTGGAGATGTGTAACATCCCACTCTCACTCTCTGTCTGCGGTCGGTGAGGAAGCTATTGATCCACTTACAGGTGCTGTGAGGAAGCCCTAGGTCTTTTAGCTTGGCGTCCAGTTTGTATGGAAGAATGGTGTTAAATGCCGAGCTATAATCCACAAAGAGCATACGCACATAGCTTCCTTGCCTCTCCAGATGTGTTAGTGCTACATTGAGTGCTGTTGCTATGGCGTCCTCTGTCGATCGGTTTGCTCTATAGGCAAACTGGTGTGGGTCAAGGCTGCTGGGTAGCGCTGCTGTGATGTGGTAATGCACAAGTTTCTCAAAGCACTTCATCACCACCGGGGTTAGTGCCACTGGTCTATAGTCATTTAGGCTAGAGATGTGAGGTTTCTTGGGCAAGGGTATTATGGTGGAGGTCTTGAGGCAGGGTGGGAAGCTTGACTGTTCAAGGGATTGGTTAAAAATCCTGGTGAAAATATAGGCAAGCTGGTCTGCGCAGTCTCTCAGCACACGTCCTGGTACACCAACTGGGCCGGCTGCCTTCCTCGGGTTAACAGCCCGCAGGGTGCGCCTCACTTCATGCTCCTCCAGAGTGATGATGGTACTGCTGCTGGGGGCTGTATGGTGTAGCTGTTCCTCTGAGGCATAGGGTGCAGTGACCTCAAAGCGTGTGAAGAAGATGTTCAGCTCCTCCGCCAGTGCTGGATCACCTTCAGCCATACCTGATTTGGACTTGTAGTTTGTCAGCTGCTGGACACCCTGCCACACCAGCCGGCTGTTCTTACTCTCCAGGTGGTTCTCGATCTTCTTCCTATAGTCCGCCTTGGCCTTCTTAATGCCTTTTTTCAGGTTGGCTCTAGCCCTGCTGTAGCTCTCCCTGCTTCCGGACCTGAAGGCGCTGTTCTTCTCTTTTAACAGCTGCTGGACTTCCCGGGTCATCCATGGCTTTTGGTTGGTGTAAACCCGGATCTGCTTATCTACTGTGACAGTGTCTATACAGTGTTTGATGTAACAGAGGACACTGTTTGTGAACGTTTCCA